TCTCTCTCTCTCTCTCTCTCTCTCTCTCTCTCTCTCTTTCTCTCTCTATCTATCTATTTATCTCTCTCTCCCCCTGTGAATGAGGCAAGCGGTAATGTTGATCGTCACTCAGGGCGGTACTCCATCTTTCCGTTTGGAATAGCTTCTCAGTAACGGATAGTTTTGTTTCGTTTTGGACGCTCTCCGTGTATTTTTCACCATTGTCGACCCCATTGTCCTGGAGTATTATATTTCTCTGTACTTTTCATTCAGTGCATTCTTCCTGTTTGGAAGTCGAAGAGATACATTGTGGTGCAGCTCTCAAGCCTTTTTTCTTTCTTTTCTGCTACTCTTTCTTTTTCTTTCTGTCCTTCTTTCTTTCTTTCTTTCTTTCTTTCTGTCTTTCTTTCTTTCTTGGTGAGATTATTGTTTCCACCAAGCGTTGTCCTAGTTATCTTGTGCAGCCTTTCTCGGCCTCGTCTTCCTGTCACGCCAAGCCCAGTTTTTCAACAAAAAGAACAAGAGCATGCTATTCAAATCAAACTAATTTCATTTTTTTTTCCATGGGAGGAGGGTTAATATTCTTGAGTGCGTCTTCCCCCAGTATGGCGCAGAGAGCCTGGTACGAGCAGCATTGATTTTGTTTAGCCCGTCCTCTCTTTCCGTCTTCGACGTCTGCCTCTTCCCCCACGTCATACAACAGTACACCGTCGCCCTTGGCTTCTTTTTTTTTCCCGTTGTGGTTTTTAAACGAAGTCGCAATACGCTGTAACATGATTATCAATCCACGATAAGTTCTCAACGGGTTCCCGTTTCAGAAAATATGTTGTTAGGACAGGAAATGACGCCACTGTTTGGTGGGTGCTTTTATTTGTTTTTCCGTGGTATTAACTTTTCTTTTGCGTCGGAGCGGACAGTGTGTTGAGGTTCAGAAAAACAGCGACGTTATTTTGCATTGTTCTCAGCTCACAGCGGTATTTCTGTTTCTGTTGCGGCTGCTCTTTTCTTTCCCAATGTCATTTTTATTTGTGCTTAATATTATCCGCTTTCCCTTTGCACTAAATGGCTGTTATCATGCCAATGTGCTTCTGTTTACTTGGAATAATCCAAGCGGTTGTCGTTGTTACCCCTTCTTGTTGTTGTTGCTGTTGTAATGGTGGCTGTTCGTGATGCTTTGTCATAGTCGTCTCTTCACCTGAGTTGCTGGTGGGCGCTGTGGTGTGGTTTTTTCCTTTCTTTCCTATAAAAAAAAATATCGTTCTTATGTCTCTCTCCCCCCCCCCCCTTTTTTTTTTGGGGGGGGGGGGTTGCATGTTGCTTTCTAGTAACACATCTAAACTTGGGTATTCATGTCAGCTACTTGTGTTGCAAGTGCAGTAAATCTCTTACTCAAACTCATTCTCAAAGTTCGGGGGGGGGGGGGGGGGTGCTCCATCTTTCCTATCAAACATCTTCTTTCCTCCTTTTTATGTTTGTTACTTTCTTGTTACATCTCTAATCTTCGGAATATATACATGGCCTAATTGTGTTGGAAGTGCCCCGAGAAACGCTTACTGAAACAACATTAATCTGTTCACCGTGCAAGATTGGCGGGAATTGCGTTGTCTACTGTTCTTTTTTTTTTCTCGACTGAAATTCTAAATGTTTTTTTTTTTTATGTGTGTGTCATTTCAGAAGTGAGACGAACGGCTCAGGTTTCAGCGTACGCACCCGACGAGAGAGGAGAGGCAGCGAGCTCCTCCGTGTCACCGGCCACTCTCCCTCCTCTTCCTCCTCCTCCTGTTTCTTAGGCAGCAGCAACCACGACCTAAATCATCATCACTATTCCAGTCTTAAAGGCAGCAGCAACCATAACAACAACAATAATAACAATTCTAGTTTCATATCGGGCAGCAGCAACAACTGTAGCAGCAGCAATAGTGGTGCCACTAGCAACAGGAGCAGCGGTAGCACCACAAACAGTAAAAGCAGCAGCACTTCTACCTCTGCGAATAGCAGTAAAAGCAGCAGTGGTTGTTGCTCCCCGGCGAGACGCGACCCGAGCTGTGTGGGCGAGAGCGGTCGTGGCGCCAGGAGGATGGGCGTGTTGTGCACCGAGAAGCAGTGCGACGGCCACGGTGGGGACAGGTCGTGCTGCTGTGGGGGCGTGTCCGCCAACTCGCCCCGCCCCGCCACGCTGCCTTCCTTCCCCGAGCAGTGCCTCAAGGGTAGCGACGACGGCGGTGGCGGTTCCGGGGTGGTTGCCAAGGGCAACAAGAACCACGTGGCCTTGTCGCGAAAGAGGTCGCTCGACGCGACCTCCTTGGATCCTGAAGACTCTGCCGTCCCCGTGTCCAGGCGTCGCACGCACAGGTCTCCTTCGACCGGCGCGCTCAATGGAACTATATGTCACGTGATCTCTAAGGACAAGCTCAGTTTGGACATTTCCGCGGCAGCGTTGGTCAGCGGTCAGAACGGTCTGAGCGGCGGCGGTGGTCAGCGTGTGGAGCTGGGCGGCAGGAATGGCCTCAAGGTCTCCTCTGGCTACCTCAATGGCAGCCGGGCTGCTTTATGCTGTTTGGGGCTAGGGGCTAAGGGACAGTGCAACAAGTGTGCCACAGACCTCCAACACCGCCACAACAACCTCCACCACCCTGCCTACCACCATAAGAACAACCACCAATCTGCCGCCACCACTTCATCGTCTTTGTTGTCGCCCTCGTCTCCGCCTTCACCGACGACCACGTCCCCAGTGGCGTCCTTCTCATCGTCGTTATCACCACCCCCTTCATCTTCGCCATCGTCATCATTGTCCTCAGTGTCCTCTCCTCCAGTGTTGTGCAGCCAGAACCAAAGCGGCCTGGGAGACATTGCCGCTGCTACGCCCGCTGTTGCTCCTGGTTCAAATCCTGGCAGCGTTCCTATGACAACAGATCCTCTGTCCAGTGAGTCGCTTTCTCCTGGCTCCCCGGAAGATGCTATTGCTCCCTCTATTTCTTCCTCTTCCAGTCTCGGGGCAGCTCAGAGTGGCACCATCAAACTACCACCGCTGCATCCCTCTTCATCTCTGCCGCCTCTCACCTCATCAAGCTCGCCATCACTGGCAGACTCCTCATCTTTAGTTTCACCACGAGAGCAACAGCTCCCACCCCCACCAGCTCAGGGACCTATATCAGCTAATACAGGCAGCAGCAACAATAACAGCAGCAGCAGCAACAACAGCAGCAGCAACAACAGCAGCAGCAATAACAGGATTTTAAAGAAGATTGGGGATGATGCCACAGCTCCAGCGCCTTCCTCCTCCAAATGCATATCAGTGTCTCCAGGCTGTGGCGTCCGGCAGCGTTCTCTCTCAGGCAACAATATCTACGCACAAAAGTCGTTATCATCGTCGTCTTTGCAACTGTCTTCATCATCAGATACAGGGGCAGAAACGCCGTCGTTATCCTCAATATCGTCGTCCATGTCAGCGTCTAAGTCAAAGACAACCCACACATTGTTTTCATTATCCTCAGCATCGTCCTCCTCATCCAGTTCCTCCTCCTCCTCCTCATCACCGTCTGTCCTCACTGCCAACAACGGCGGCGGCAGCAGTAGATCCTCGCTGGTCACTGAGCCCTCTTCCCCGTCCCAGTCGTCCAGCGGGCTCGTTGAGTGCAAGTGGCGTGGCTGCAGCGCGCGTGATCTTGACGCCAGCGACCTCCTGGAGCACCTACGCCAGCATGCCGAGGCGCAGATCGCAAGCAAGAGCTACGCCTGCCTGTGGGCCGACTGCAAGGTGTACAATAAACCCTCCTGGTCCGGCTCCTGGCTGGAGCGTCACGTGGTCTCGCACAGTGGCCACCGGCCCTTCAAGTGCATTTTGGACAACTGCGGACAGCGGTTCCACTCGCAGGCGGCGCTAGAGCGTCACGTTAACGGCCACTTCGCTGCCCAAGGACCTCAGGGCGCGAAAAATGGTCGCAGTAGGGAGGAGGCGGCGGCCAGCCGACTGATGCAGAAGAGACGGAAACAGCTCAAACGGCGTTCCGTTCAGGCCGGTAGGTTGTGTGCGTTTGTGTACGTGAGTACGTGCGTATGTATGTGCGCGTGTGTGTGTTTGTGTGTGTGTGTGAGTAGAGCGTGGGCGTGTGTGTGTTCGGTGTGTGTGAGTACGGGCGTGCGTGAGCGCGCGCGTGCATGCATGTGTGTGTTTTCTCCTGTTACTAAATGCTGTCCTTGTACTTTTAATTAGTCTCTTTTCCCTTACTTATCTTTTTTTTCTTCAATCTCTCTCTCTCTCTCTCCCTCTCTCTCTCTCTCTCTCTCTCTCTCTCTCTCTCTCTCTCTCTCTCTCTTTCTATCTCTCTCAACTTTCTTTCTTTCTTTTTGTTGATTGAATTATCTCTTACCGTCTTACTGACGACAGTACCTTTTCATAAACTCATCCTTCTGCGGCCAATTTCTACCTGATCTCTGGCTCTCGTTCATCTGTGGAATGGATGAATTCATTCCATGAATTATGAACCACATGGCCCGGTGTTCCAAGTGATACTGTTTGTGGGTTTTCACTCTCTGCCAAAGGCGATGCAGTTATTGTGCGCGTTCGCGCCGTGTGTATTTGTGTGTGTGTGTGTGTGTGTGTGTGTGTGTGTGTGTGTGTGTGTGTGCGTGTGTGTGCGTGTGTATGTGTGCGTGTGTTAGTGTGTGCCAGTGCATTGATTTAATAAGTTAATTAAGACGGGTTTTTGATGTGCTTGTAAAAGGCACAATTCTCTTCGTGTTTTGTTGTTATGACAGGTTACTTTTCCAGCGACCATTGCGTGGTCCTAAAAACAGATAGAAGGGAATAGAAATAATATTTTTTGCGTTGCTAAAAGCAGTAACACGAAACAAAAAGTAAGAAAAAAGAAATGTCATTGGTAGCGATTGTTTCGCCTCAGAGGTGGCATGGTGCACAGAGGTAAATGTATGTTCGTTGAACATTTAGGTTGTCGATTTTCATCAGAGCCGGTAGATGAAAACAACGAATAAGGAAGAAATGAAAGGTCGTCGCTTTCTTTTTTTTT